AGTTGGAGCAGGAGAGGGGCATAATCTGTTTTAAAAGCTCTCTCTTGGGGCGCCTGGGTAGCTCAGTGGGTTAAGCCTCTGCCTTCGGCTCAGATCATGATCTCAGGGTCCTGTGATCGAGTCCCGCATCAGGCTCTCTGCTCAGCAGGGAGCCTGCTTCCTCCTCTCTCTCTCTCTGCCTGCCTCTCTGCCTCCTTGTGATCTCTGTCAAATAAAAAATAAAATATTAAAAAAATAAAAAATAAAAAAAATAAAAGCTCTCTCTTCCTGAGTTGGGGGTAGCAGACTGTAGGGGGCAAGAGTAGAAGAAGCAAGGAGGCCAGGTATAAAGCTGTCGTAGTTCCATAGGTGAGAAATGGTGGTGGCTGTGAGGGTGGGGGGAAGTGGATAGGTGCTGCTGCTGTGAACACATCTGTACAGACCTGGGTGCACACCGGAGTATTTCCGCAGCGTTCATTCCTAGAAGGGGAACTGTTGAGTCAGAGTATGAATAATACTAGCTGACATTTACTAAGTGCTGACTGTGTGCCAGGTCCTATTTTAAGTGCTTTTCGTGTAATTGAGCCATACATTAGCTGTAAGCTCAGGGCCTCTAGCATAGTTAAGGATTAAAAATACAAACATGATATTCAGTGTTGATGGCAGCTGAATAAAAAAAAAATCCCAAGCAGGGCCTCCTGCGTAGCTCAGTTGTGAAGCGTCTGCCTTAGGTTCAGGTCATGGGATAGAGCCCATGTCGGCCTCCCTGCTCAGCGGGAAGCCTGCTTCTCCCTTTCCCACTCCCCCTGCTTGTATTCCCTCTCTCGCTGTCTTTCTCTCTCAAATAAATAAAATCTTTAAAAAGAAAATTGGGGGGGGTGTTCCTGGGATCCAGCTGTAGGGCTCCCTTCTGAGCAGGGAGTCTTTCTCCATCTCTCTCTGTCCCTCCCTCCACTCACGCTCCCCCCTGCGCCACCCCCCACCCCGCAATAAATAAATAAGTAAGATCTTTAGGGGCAGGGAAAAAAACCTCCCAAGCACTCAGAGTCTAGAGCTCTGTAGGAGGTAGGAATTGTGGAGAGCCCACGTGGCTAAATGTGATTTTTGTCAGAGGCATTTATAGGTTGCAGTGCTCTAAGAGCTCAGAGAAAGGGGTGCTCACTTGAGTCGGCTGTGGTAAGAAGGACTTGAGGAAATGGGATTTGAATTGGGTTTTGATGTCTGGGGAAAAGCTCAACTAGGCCTAGAGAGGAGTGTATTGCAGGTGTGTAGAATGTGGTGATCTAAAGTTGGCAGGTGGGAAATGGAAGGCATGTCCGGGAGGGAGGAATCTGGTCCTGGTGGGAGAGACAGCTGGGGAAGTGGAAGGGAAATACTGAAGGCCTTTAAATGCCACCTTTAGAATTTTTTTATCAGATTCTTTTGAAAATCAGGATCCCACCTATCACTGAGCCCTTGTTGTTGTTGTTGTTTTTGTCATTTTAGGGCTAGTTATTTTTTTTAAGATTTTATTTATTGGCGCCTGGGTGTCTCAGAGGGTTAAGCCTCTCCCTTCCGCTCAGGTCATGATCTCAGGGTCCTGGGATGGAGCCCCTGCAGTTGGGCTCTCTGCTCAGCAGGGAGCCTGCTTCCCCCTCCCCCTCTGCCTCTGCCTGCCTCTCTGCCTACTTGTGATCTTTCTCTGTCAAATAAATAAATAAAATCTTTTTAAAATAAAGATTTTATTTATTTATTTGAGAGAGATCGCAGTAGGTGGGGGGGGGGGGCGGGCTCCCTGCTGAGCAGAGAGCCTGACAACGCGGGGCTCCATCCCAGGACCCTGAGATCATGACCTGAGCCGAAGGGAGAGGCTTAACCCACTGAGCCACCCAGGCGCCCCTGTTGTTTTGTTTTGGTTTTTTAAGATTTTTATTTATTTAAGAGACGGGTGGAGGTGTGTGTGCAGGGGAAGCTCATGAGGAGGAGGAGGAACAGGGGGAGAGAGATGGGCAGAATCCCTGCTGAGTGTGGAGCCCAACGACAGATCCAAGGACCTTGAGATCACGAGCTGAGCCTAAAGTCAGCCGCTTAATAGACTGAGCCACCCAGGTGCCCCTTGTTTTTTGTTATAAGTAGGTTCCGAGTCCAGCATGGAGTCCAGTGTGGGCCTTGAACTCACAGCCCTAAGATCAAGACCTGAGCTGAGCTAAGAGTCAGATACCTAACTGTCTGAGCCACTCGGGCGCGTCACTGAGCCCTTTTGTAGTTAAGGATTGAGAAGTTCAGTAAGTCCAAGTAATACACGTTGAGCATCTGTTATGTGCCAGGGATAATGCTAGATGCGTTTGCACACACATTTTGACTGGTTGTCAAGGGGATTAATCGACATGAAGTCACAATTGGTGTCCCCATTTTACAGCTGAAAAAACTGAAGTTTAGAGAGATTATGCATTTTGTCCAGATCACCCAGTTGGGAAGTGGCAGAACCAGAATTCAGAGCTAATTCTTCAGACCTAGAGGTCATTTAGTGATTGGCAGTGCCCTATTGCTGAAGGAACAGTGAAGAGAACAGAGTGTGAGAATTTAGTGGGTGTAGGGATTAGGAGGCCTATTGTTTGAAGATACAATTTCCCAGGGGAGAGCTGGGCTATTCTAGCTGTATCTTTGAGGTAGTGGAGCAGCCAAGCAGGACAGAAACCCTGGAACTTGGCACCCTGGAATTCCAGGTAGGGCAGTGTTGGGTCCAGGTGAAGGGAAGACTTAGAGATTAACAGTGACAGCAGAGATCTGGAAGGTACAGCTAAATGCAGTCAACCTTTTTCATGTCAAAAGGTTTGGTATGTGCACTGTATTCTTTTTGGAAACATGGCCTATTAAATGTGCTGATTCTGGAGGGATAGGAGCTCCTCTGGAAGGACATAGCTTTTCTTCCTCCTTCCACTCACTGGTATAAATCTGTGATGAGTGAAGTACTCATTGCTAGTATCTCTGTTATTTACCTTGCTTGTATCTTGTAAGGCCTCTTCCCGGTTCCCTCCTTTTTTAGAGAAGTGGAATTGTCACTCGAAAGGCTTGTGTCTGCTAGCCTGTGGGTGGCAGTGGAAAGGCCCCATAGAAGAAAAGCCATAATGGAGAAGCTGAGACCTGGACATACACCTTTGAGGGAAATACTGTCAATATTCCCTCCCCCTCATTTTACCCTTGGGTTGTATTAGTGAAAGAAATCCAGTGTCTGCGAATTTGAAGGATGAGTGCGGCATCCTGTTTTGTCAGCCACCATCCTCATTAAAGATCTCTAGTCTAATTACATGCAAGTATCCATAATTATTGGTACCATTTTTAGAAGAGCTGCTTCATGTTCTCCTTAATATTAGTGCAAGTTGAAAAGCTGCTCATTTCATAAATTTTTAAAAAATTTTTGTTCATTTATTTGCCAGAGAGAGTGAGCGAGCAAGCTTGCGTAAGTAGGGGGAATGGCAGGCAGAGGGAGAAACGGGCTCCCCGCTGAGCAAGGAGCCGGATGGGACTCCATCCCAGGACCTTAGGATCATGACCTGAGCCTAAGGCAGCTGCTTAACTGGCTGAGCCACCCAGGTGTCCCCAGACTTTTTTAAAAAATATTTTATGTATTTTAGAACACATGCATGAGTGTATGGTGGGAGAACAGAGAGGGAGGGAAAGGGACAAGTAGATTCCTCGTTGAACATGGAGCCCATCTCAGGGTTTGGTCTCATGACCTGAGCTGAAATCAAGAGTCGATTGCCCAACTGACTGAGCCATCCAGGCTCCCCTAAGTACAGACTTTTTTTGTTTTTTGTTTTTTAAGATTTTGTTTATCCATTTGGCAGAGAGACACCATAAGCAGGTGAAGCAGCAGTCAGAGGGAGAGGGAGAAGCAGACTCCCCGCTGAGCAAGGAGTAAAATGCAGGACTTGATCCATGGACCCTGGGATCGTGACCTGAGCCGAAGGCAGGCGCTTAACTGACTGAGCCACCCAGGCACCCCCAGACTTTTTGAGATAGCTGGACCTCTGACTACCTTTCTTAAAATCTCAATCTTTTGTGACTTTATAGACTAGGATGATCAAACACTTTCCAAATACACACTCTTTAATGCCACCCTGTTTTTGCTCATACTACCCCTTTTCACCTTTTCTTCTGCTGCTGTGCTAGTCCAAGCCTTCATTCTCTCTCGCCTTAACTGTGACACCCTTATCCCTCCAGGAATCCGGCCCACCCCTGCCATGGCTTTCTGTTGTGCTTAGATAAAATTCAGCACTTACAGTGCTTGTAGGAGCCTTTGTGATGTGGGCCCTGGTTCTGTGTGTGACCCACCTCCTACCGTTCTCACCTTTGCTCACTGTTCTTCAGCCACTGTCCTTTCCGGCCCCAAAACATGCCAGGAACTCTTCTGCTTCAGGCCTTTTATACTTGCTGCTTTTGTACTTGTTCTTCTCCCAAATATTTGTATATTTGTCCTTCATTTCATTTTGATTTTTGCTCAACACCTTCTCAGAAAGGTCTTCATGATCCGTCTGGGTAAAATAGCATCCTCCAACACTCTTGATCTATATCCTGCTTGATTTCCATCACTTCTTTTTTTCTTTTTTTCTAAGTAAGCTCTTCTGTGCCCAGTGTGGGACTTAAACTCATGACCCTGAGATCAGAGTCGTTCTACAGGCTGAGCCAGCCAGGCCTCCCTGATTTTCATCACTTTTTGACATCCTATATCTCTGTCTATCTCTTCCATAAAATAAAAGCTCCATGAGGGCAGGGGTTATGTCTGTCTCGTTCACTGCTCTATTTCTATACCTTAGAGGGGTGTCTGGCATAGTAGGTGCTCAATAAATATTTGTTGAATGAATTGTTCTTTGCAGGATGGATTAGAGCCTGTCTCTTTCCTGGATTTTATCCACGATGCTTCCATGCATTTAATGAAAACCAAAATTACTTCACTGTTATTGTGACTTGTTCTGTTTTTCAGTAGTTCAGTGAAACTTTCACTGTTCTCTGTCACCTGGTTAACAGTGTCTGCCTTACAGGCTGCGGGCCTCCCGGGTGCTTCTTGTCGGCATGAAAGGACTCGGGGCTGAAATTGCCAAGAATCTCATTCTGGCAGGAGTGAAAGGACTGACCATGTTGGATCCTGAACAGGTGAGATGTTTGGCCACCTCCTCACTCTTCCTTCATGGTCTCCCCTCTTCAGTGTAAAACACTTGGAGGTGTCGTGAATTCCTGTGTGCCCCTGCAGGCTTGTGAAAGAAGGGCTGGTATTAGTGGAGCTGTGGCCTTACGGCCCTGGCATGTCCTAGGTGGTCAGCTCCTGTCTCCTGTGTCCTCCTTGTGCTTTAAAGCATAGTCAGTCTCTCCCTTGGAGGGTGACTTTGAGGAGGAGAGGGGTGGTTTTCCACTTCATACGTATAAACCGCCTGCGTGACTACTTAAAATTGCACAGTCCCCTCGGGGCTTTGTTACGGTGTAGCTGGCCTTTACCCTGCAGTGATCCTGCTTTAGAAGGTTCGAGATGCGGCTCAGGACTATGTAACATTTGAGAGGTATCTCAGGAGAGCTTCATGAGTTTGGAAAACAGTGGGTGGGAGAGAATGGATGCAGACTGCTTAGCATGGTGCTTACACATAATAAGCATCTGATAGTAATTCTATGGCCTCCCATTTAATTGAAGATATGGTAGTCATTCTCATCTCCTATGTAGAGTTCTCTGACCAGTTTTTCCAAGGTGAAAATAACTTCTTTCTCTTACATTCTCATGCCTCAGTGTTTTAATTTTCTTTTATAGAAAATTTCAAATATATGCAAAAGTAGAATAACATTGGATAACCCATCTATATGACTTCTACAGATAACAGTATTTTTTTTTTGTCTGTATTTTTTTGGACAGTATTTTAAAGCAAATTCTAGAAATCGTGTTGTTGTTTAAGGTAAAATACTTGAAAGATTGTGTCATCACATGATACTCTTGGTGTCTTTCCTTTTAGACGATGAACATGCTAAGTAATTAGCCACACAGTGAGGTGTAGGCTCTGGAAGAAAGCAAATGTTGATGAAATTTTTTAAAGCTCATCTGTCTGGGTTTCAGGAGAAAAGTAGTATCAGGATTTAAAAGAAATTCTCCTGCAATGAAGAGAAATGTGGGTTGCCTCACTTAATATCAATCACAAATTGATTTTTGACTTGAATTCAAAACCTTCTAAGGAAAGAAAATTCTTGGAAGCAAACTGCGGGCGGAGCAGTTGCAGTGTTGACATCTCCCCAACCACAGTGCCCCCTAGAGGCTTTTGGAGGGAGAACTTGTTCAGAGCAGAGCCAGCCAGGGAAGGATGCTTCCTAAATGTGGAGGCCTGTAGTGTGGGAAACTGAAACCAGATGGGGATGATGACTTCCTCATCTGGTTGCAGGACTCGGAGAATGGGGAACGATGATAGAATACTGAGGCGTGACAGAGTGCTGTTACTGCCTCAGGACAGCGATGGGTGCCATCCAGTGTTGGAGTGAACAGGCTGACCGTTATCCCTGCCGTCTTCACTTTGAGGACTTGCAGTGCCTTCCGTGTACCTTCCACTGAAATGCCTAATTCTTCTGACTGGTTTTCAAGACCTAATACAGCGGTTCTCCGTCCCATCTGTGGTTTGAGTATTTGGGGGATTTGTTAAAAATAAAAGTTCTCGGGGCTCCTGGGTGGCTCAGTGGGTTAAAGCCTCTGCCTTTGGCTCAGGTCACGATCCCAGGGTCCTGGGATTGAGCCCCGCATCGGGCTCTCTGCTCAGCGGGGAGCCTGCTTCCCTTTCTCTCTTTGCCTCCCTCTCTGCCTACTTGTGATCTCTGTCAAATAAATAAATTTTAAAAATCTTAAAAAAAAAAAAAAAAGTTCTCCAGGTGAGTCTAAAAGTCAGGGAGAGTTGAGAACTGCTGACTTCATGTAAACTGGGCCCAGTCAGCTTACCCAGCCTGACTCTTACCTCATAAATTCATGGACACACTTTGATGGTTCTGCCTTTTGGAATTTGCTTGTGCTTTTTTCCCCCCCTGACAAGGCACATCCCAGGGAGACTGTGCTACCTAGTGCAAAAGCTCTGGAATTTTGCAGATTTGGACTCAAATCCCACATCTTCAAGCTGGGCGAAAGGCTTTATTAACTTCTCAGGGACTCAGCTTGCTAATTAGTTAATTAGTTAATTATATTAGTAATCTCTATATCCAGTGTGGGGCTCAAACTTGCAGCTCCGAAATTAAAAGTCTCGTGCTCTGCCAAACTGAAGGTGCCGTGCAGTTTGCTCATCTATAAATCAAGGATGTTAATTCCTGTCCTTCGGAGTTCAGAGAGTTTTATTTACATTAACAAATATCCTAGAGTACCTGCAGGCTACCCTGTCTAGACACTGGTGATACAAAGATGCACAAAATTGGGTTCCCATTCTCGAGATTTCTTTAGAAACCAGAGCAGGCTCCTAGACTCAGGTTGTGGTAGGGGGACATGAAAGGCTTCCTGGAGCTGTGATCTTAGCTGACGCTTAAGGAACAAACAGAGATTTCTCAAGTTGAAGGGCGGTGTTTTAGGCGGAAACATTAGCAGTGGCATAGAACAGCATGGTAGAAGTAGAATATAACAAGCAGTGCTATTTGGTGTTTTTAGAATGAGAAGCCCAAAGTGGTGTGTGTGTAGGGGGGGATTGCAGGTTGTAGGTAAAGTCCAAATCATGAAGGCCCTGCTAGGAAGCCTTGCTTTGTACTCAATCCTCTGGGTGGTAAGGATTCATTAAAGAGTTTCAAATATGGGATGGGTGACCTGGTCAAGTTTCAGGCCTCCTGTAGAACACTAGTCACTGTATATGATTTGCACAAGATAACGGGCAGAAGACCACCTAGAAGGCTGCTTTAGTAGTTTAGGTAAAAAATAAAAAGGGTCTGAATAATAGCACTAGTGGTAGAAAAGACAAGAAGCACATGGAGATGAAAAACAGGAGGTGGTAGAATCCGTGGGATCATACACGGGGGCATAGGGAAAGCAAGCACCTGTAGTAGCAGATGCTTCCGGCAGGTGCTGGATACTGCGCTAAGAGCTGTAGTTGTATCTCGTTTAGTCCTCAACTCTGAGATGTAGGGTTGTCGTCATCCTTATTTTACAGATAAGAGAACTGAGGAAAGGGAAGTGAATTACTGGCCCACTCAAGGTCATAGTAGATGATGGTACGACCAGCACCCAGTGAGTCGGACTCTTGGTAGAGCCTGTGCTCTTAGCTATGTCATCGGGTGGCTGTTATCAAGGACATAACAAGACTATAAAGATTGGGGTTTCTGGCTCAAGTAATTGGATGGGTGGTTGGTAGGCCATCAACTGACCAGAAAATAGAGGAGTCGAATATGAATAATCAGGAGGAGATATCTGGTGGGCAGTTAGACTCTGATGGACGAGGAGGCAGTCTGTGCCAGTAAGAACAGTTCAGGATATGCCAGCAGAAACTAGAGGTAGTGAGTTTATGGAGCTGTGGAGAACGGAGATATGAGTGATTCTGAGATGGAGTCCAGGGGAAACTATAGCCACGAGGGTCCATGTGGAGACTGGCTGTCCAGTGAGGGAAGAGCAGAGCAGCACTAATAGAGCGATTATAGAAAGTGTACTGCTTGTCTTACCCTCACTTCGCCTGTGATTCCCATACCCTTGCTCGCGCTCATGCAGTTCAGTAAGTGGCTGAGCTAGGATTTGAATCAAAGATTTGAATTCGACTTGAATTATTCCAGAGCCTTGCTCTTAACCAGTATGATGTCCACCTCTCAGTATGTAATGAGATCCGTGAAGAAGTAGGACAGGATGGGTCAAGGATACTGTTACAGGGCTGGCCTTGAATGGGAGGAAGACCAGCTCATTTTCTTGAAGGAAAGGTGGTAAGGGATAGTTGGCTGGAGGAGAGGAGGGAGATTGCTTGTGTTGTCTTGGTGAAGGTAGCAAGGTCATACTAGTAGAGATTAATTGTTAAATTAGATATTGGATATGTGAAGAAATGCTGTGAACGGAATGGAATCTGTTATCGTATTGGCAGCTATCAGGTGATTTTATTTTATTTATTTATTTTTAGAAGACTTTATGTATTTGACACAGAGAGAGTACAAGCAGGGGGAGCAGCAGGCAGAGGGAGAGGGAGAAGTAGGCTCCCGCCGAGCAGATAGCCCAATGTTGGGCTCCATCCCAGGACCCTTGGGATCATGACCTGAGCTGAAAGCAGTCATTTAACCGACTGAGCCACCCCGTCGCCCCTGTCAGGTGATTTTATCATCTTTGAGGCTCTCTGCTGACATCCAGCCTTGTGGGTGAAATCCTCCATTTACTTAAGCCCTACTCATCTCTCCTCCTTTCTGAACTTTAGTTGCATTTAAGAGTTAATTTCAGGCATTCTTAATTGTGACTGATTTTGGCACTGGTCTGATTTTATTTATTTGATAGAGCACAAGCAGGGGGAGTTGCAGAGGAAGAAGCAGGCTCCCCACTGAGAAGGGAGCCTGCCTCGAGACTCAATCCCAGGATTCCCATCCCAGAATTCTGGGATCATGACCCAAGCCGAAGGCAGATGGTCAGCTGACTAAGCCACCCAGGCGCCCCAGGGACTCATCCTTTCAACTACTATTGTTTGTGTCCAGATGTTTAAAATTAGGAACATAGTAGGTATTTGGCAAATTCTTAACCACTCATAATTTTATCATTTTATTAGCAGTTAAAAATTTAAAGAAGAAAGTGTGGACTTTTCTGTTTAGAGTGAATTTTCTTTATAAACACAAGGGGGTGCTCTTTAACTATCAATGGCAAGTAAAAAAAGTTCAGTGTCTGTCTCTACTTTAAGCCTCTGAAGGAGTGAGTGTAGGCAGTCTGCATTAGGCAAATTCCTGCAAGAACAATAATACAATTAGATGGTAGATATTTTCGTTATCCTTGAAAACGGAAAGGTTTGTTGTTTTCGAGAATTTGTTTTCTCCCTAAAATTCAGGTATTAAAACAGTGCTATTTCTAGGTATCTCCAGAAGACCCCGGGGCTCAGTTCTTGATCCGTACTGGATCTGTGGGCCGCAACAGGGCTGAAGCCTCTTTGGAACGAGCCCAGAATCTCAACCCCATGGTGGACGTGAAGGTGGACACTGAGAATATAGAAAAGAAGCCGGAGTCATTTTTCACTCAGTTTGATGCTGTAAGTCCCATAAAGAGTGTAAAATCCGTAGGTTTAGTACATTGGAGTCTCGAGTCTGACATTGCCTCGGTGTACGTGCCTCGCTAGCGCGGTGCCTTTCCGTGTTGACTGTGTTGGTAGTGGATCCAGTCTGTTGGATCTGCTGTGGCTGTTTGTGACTTGCTGTCTGCTGGTTTCTTCTTTGGGTTCCCTCAAGACCAGGTTTCATCATTGGTGTTTGTACTCCTTCCAGAATCTTTCCATATAGCTTCGATACATTTTATTGCAAGTGTTTTCTCTGGAAAACAAGTTGGTGGTTAATTTCTGTAGTAGAGGCATTTTTTTTTTTTTTTGTTTTTTTTGTTAGAAATATCAAACTACAGCTTGTGTTTTGTCTTAAAAAAGAGCACACCTGATCTTGGTCTGTGTCTGTCTCTTTCACACAGCCGCTTTGACCATGTTGCCATGGATAACCAGACACATTCCCTGTAGTCATAAGCCAAATGAGGCATATCCAGCCTCGTTTGGTTTCACTGCCAGATCTATGCAGAGGTGAAAGGATAAGTTAAATTTTGTTTCAGCGTCTGTGACCTTTCAGACATGGTTCCCTGTACCCAGGAAAAGCTAAACAAATGTTGGGTAACCGTGGAATAGTCACAGATGATCTGCTTGGTTTGTAATGAGAGGCCCATTACATGAGAGGTTAGAATCTGGGCTGGGTAGTTTGTTTTTCCACACTGTTACATTGCATATGTGCATCTGTTCAAATGTGTGCTTGGAATGATGGATCATCTGTGCGTTTTGTCTTTTTTTTAATTTAATTCATTCTATTTTGTAACTCCCAAGTATTGGAACATTTTCTGTTTGGACATAAGTCTTCATTTCTTTATCCATAGTAACCACATTTGGTTAATTCTAGGTGTCCCTAGCATTTCTAGCACTTAGAGGGTTGGTTAGAACTGAAGCCGGGGCTGGTGGGTTGTGTAAAGCATGTGCATGGGGTGGGGATAAATGCCTCAGGGGCCGCGTGTTTCTGGCCTCTTAGGTTTTACCCTCATTTTTCACTCTGCAGGGTTCCATTTGGTCAACGTTGCATGTTCAACTGTGGCTGTCTTGCCTTTTAGACTTGATTTTTTTTTCCTTGGGTGTTTTCTGTGTTCAGAAGAAAACGTGCAGTTTAGAAGTTGTCTTCGTGACCCTTATCCCAAAGGTTTTCCTGAAAAGATCGTGTTTTATGCAGTAAAATTTAGCTATTTGCAGTACCTCCACTTTTTGGAACACAACCTAGAGGCCTCAGAGCAACATTGATAAGTCTATTGAGTGAATCACGGGTTCATTGTCTAGGTCTGAATGGAAGGTCACTTGGTGTGTAACCTTTTCTTTTGTCCTTCAATTCAGATAAAGTTGCCTGTTGAAAACTGTGGAAAACTGTGGAAAAATAATCTCAACATGACTTGTTTATCTTCTTTATCGTAACATATCAATCAAAAGAAGGGGGAAAATGCCCTCGAATTTAAATGTGACCCCTGAGTCACTTAAAACTGGTTGTGCTTCTCATGATAGCTTATGCAGATATTAACAGGTTAAATAATTTAGAAATAACTTACGTTAAGTTATTACTGTCTTTTTCCTTTTCACGAAAACTTTGAGATGTGGTTTATATATGTTCATAGAACAGGGGAGAGAAATCCGTGGAATGGCCTTACTTTCTAGTTAAACCCATTTGTTTTGATTGCAATAAGTGGAGGTCTCGCAATTTACATTTCTAGTGAAACCTGCAACTTTTCTTTTGTCTTCTAACCATAGGATCCGAAGAACCTGTTATACCAGTTGGAAACTGGCTTTAGACATGCCCAGAGAGACTGTTCACCAAGATTTATGTAGACATCAGGGCAGTGATTCACACTTTGCAAAACTCACACCCCGCCAATTCTTCCTTTCTGCAGGTTTGCCTGACTTGCTGTTCCAGGGATGTCATAATCAAAGTTGACCAGATCTGCCACAAAAATAGCATCAAGTTTTTTACAGGAGATGTTTTTGGCTACCATGGATACACATTTGCCAATCTTGGAGAACATGAATTCGTAGAGTAAGTTTTGGGAGAGGAGGGGAGAATGTAACATTTTCAGAAAAAAATACAGTTTTATTCACCAGTAGGAAACAGCCCATCTAAGCAAAGTATGCTTAGAACACTTGGAAACCAGTTCATTAACAGCTTACTGATTTTGTAGGTTGTGTGTTGAGAATTGTAGCAGATGTGGCCCCCGTTTCCAAATAATGGTCTAATCTAAAGCGGAGTTCTTCCGGCAGTCGAATACACCCGGTGGGTGTTTGGGTAGCCTGGGCAAAACCACACCATCTGATTAGGGAAGGCTTGCTTGGATTGTAAACACATGCACCTCAGTTTTGGCCTCTGTGTTTCCAGGTTGGTAATAAAATGAGTACGAAATAGCCAGGTGGGTAACTCTGAAGGCACAGTCAGCCAGAGTCTGTCTTGGGAAAGCTTCCAAGTCCAGAGACAGTGCTGGTGGAACAAATAGACCTTATCCTCTCAGTTTGAGTATCAGGGTTGCAGAGCGTGGTGCTTCTCACATGATGGGACCTGCAGTGTTTGGAACTTACAGCTTCTAGATGAAAGATGGCAGATGATACCAGTATTGTAAAACTACCTGCGGTGGGGTTTTGGCTATTATTTCTGACTACCTCCCTTGCTAATAAGAGGTGAAGAGAGGCCCAGTGTGGTAGGTGAAGCTCCCTACCAAGAGTCAAGAGTTGCTTTCTTTTGTTCAGCTTCTTAGGCAGATCGCTGAAATTGCCCTGGTCTGCACATACCTCGTCTGTAAAATCGAGATGGGGGAAAGACAGACATGTTCAAGATCTCTCGTAACTTTGGTGTTTTATGGCTCTCAGAAACTCTGTAGTGTTTTGGGCACGCTGTAAATGGACGGAGAAGGCATACTGGAGAAAAGCAGGCCCGAATTATTTTTTTATTTTTTTAAAGATTTTATTCATTTATTTGACAGAGATCACAAGCAGGCGGGGCGGGGGTGGGGGAAGCAGGCTCCCCGCTGAGCAGAGAGCCTAATGTGGGGCTCTGTCCCAGGACCCTGAGACCATGACCTGAGCCAGAGGCAGAGGCTTAACCCTCTGAGCCAGCCAGGTGCCCCAAGCCCAGATTATTTTAATGTGAGCTCCCCATGGCGGAGGGGAGAAATCGGTTTGGCTCTATTTCATGATTCAAGTGAAATTTATGAAGACTTTTTGAGAGCTTACCTTGTGCTGGGCAATGTATGCTAAGCAATTCATTATTTCTTATCTTAAAATAATTCTGTCAGGGATTATTATTCTCACATACCTGATTGATCAGGTAATCATCAGCCGCTTTGGGATTGGAAACCACTCAGCTATACCTGACTGCAAAGCTTTTGAAACCCCCGCCCCCCTTTTTTGAAGATTTATTTTAGGGAAAGAGCACACATTGGGGGAGGAGGGGCAGAGGGAGAGGGAGAGAACCTCAAGCAGACTCTGCTGAGCTTGGAGCCTGACGTTGTTTTGATCCCATGACCCTGAGATCACGGCCTGAGCTGAAATCAAGTCAGACGCTTAACCCACTGAGCAGCCCAGGCGTCCCAAGCTTTTGCTCTTAGCCACCATCCTATCACGTGAGCTGGCGAGGCTCTTTGGCATGATTCAGAGAGTAGAGCTTAAATGCTTCCCTTGTCACCCTCTAGGGAGAAAACCAAAGTTGCCAAAGTTAGCCAAGGGGTAGAAGACGGACCTGATACCAAGAGAGCAAAGCTTGATTCATCCGAAACTACTATGGTCAAAAAGGTATGTGTACTGTGAGGGGGGGAATGATCAGAAGCCTTGGGGCCTTATGGGGGACAGGCAGTCACAACTGCAAGCAGGACGAGCAAGCATGTAGTCTTGATGGGAGGGGCCTGGACAAGCCGGGTCAGTGCTTGTCCCACTTAAAGAGGGGGGTGGCTGCTGCTTAGCGGCAGCCAGCTGTTGCCATGAAGGAGTATGGACGCAGTGATGCCAGGTGTCAGTTTTTAACGGAATCAGAAATAGATTTTTTTAAAGGTTCTGTCCCAAACTTTTTTTTCCCCTATACTCCCCTGCCCCCCCAAACTTTTTTTTTTTTTTTTTTAGATTTTATTTATTTGGAGAGAGAGAAAGTACATAGGCACGCACAAGTGGGGGTGTGGGATGGGGGGGCAGCAGGCAGAGGGAGAGGCTCCCTGCTGAGCTGGGATCTCGATGCAGGACTTGATCCCAGGACCCTGGGATCATGACCTGAGCCAAAGGCAGACGCTTAATGGACTGAGCCACCGAGGTGCCAGTCCCAAACTTTTTATTTTATTTATTTATTTATTTTTTTAAAGAGATTTTTTTTTTTTTTAAGATTTTATTTATTTATTTGACAGACAGAGATCACAAGCAGGCAGAGAGGCAGGCAGAGAGAGAGGAGGAAGCAGGCTCCCTGCAGAACAGAGAGCCTGATGTGGGGCTCGATCCCAGGACCCTGGGATCATAACCTGAGCCGAAGGCAGAGGCTTAACCCACTGAGCCACCCAGGCGCCCCCAAACTTTTTATTTTTAAGCAGGCTCCCTGCCGAGCAGAGAGCCTGACTCGGGGCTCCATCCCAGGAACTTGGAATCATGACCTGAGCCAAAGGCAGAGACTTTAACCCACTAAGCCACCCAGGTGCCCCTAGTCCCAAATTTTTTAACACCTACTACTTTGGTTTGAATGCTCTTCCTTTCACCCCGCAGAGGCTAAAGAGAACATGCCTGCAGGGCTTACTTGGTGTGTGGGCCGACAGCGGCCTCTAGTATCTGGAGCAGTAGCAGAAGAACTGTTTGGAGCAAAGGCCATGCCTCTTGCATAAAAGAAAGTTTTTTGGATAGACAATTTAGGGAAATCCTACCTAAGTGGGCAGGAATACAGTTTAAAGTTTGAATTGTTTATGCTTTTCTTCTTTAAGATGAAGTTTCGGGGTCGGCTTTCCACCAGATAACCTTTTAGGAAGAAAGTCCTTAATGTTGACAAGTGTTATCATCCGGTGTGTACTTTCTAACATAGTTTGTAGGGACGTAGGCTGTACTGGAGTTGGCGCAGAGATTTAAGTCCGTTTTACAGCGAGAGGAGGGGCGGGGACTCGGCAGGAGAGGATCTTCCCAAGCCCTTGTTGGAATCTGAGAAGGGGGTCACGCGATGGGGGAGACAAGATGAAGGGGCCAGAATTGGTTTTGTCCAACTGAGGAGAGAGATGACCGAGCCCGTATTTACTCTTTGCTTTGTAGATTTAAATGTGGAGAAAGAAAAACAGCTGGTCAGAGCTTCAAGTTAAAATTGCTCTAAAGGGGGGATTCTAAGAGTGCAGAAACCACAAGAGAGACTGCAGAAACCACAGAAGTGGAACTCGTTGAGTTTCCAGCAAGGCTGGGCCGGAGATTTTCGTTTTCTTGCTCTTTATGTTTGTATTGGAAGAGTTTGATTGCTGTGAGTGTGATACAGAGGAATTATTAAGCCCTAATTTTAGTGTCTATTCACAGGACCATAATTACCCAGAGTGAACATTGGTGTTTTGGCCAAAACTTGGGTCCTTTTCTTTCTCTCTTCTTTTCTTTCTTTGTGAGGCCCAGTCAAGCTTTATCTGAATAGCTCCGTGAGTTTGGTGGGGGGGAGATAAATTGTTAACTAACGGAGGAGTACAAAAGCACCTTTGTGGGTGCTGTCAATTTATAAATCACACCCTCTTACAAGTGTGACACTTGGCCTTGGTGTGAAGGGTTTTATGGCTTAAGGGCCTTCTCTGATTGAGGCGGGTCTTTCACATTCAAATGGGGAGAGCTCCCAGCTTTGTTAGCCCTTCACAGCTGGACGCTTCCCCTGGACTCAATACTGATGGTGCCCACTGGGGTGGATCTGGAAACCGCTCTGGGGAGCCACTTTACGGAGCTATGAGGGGAATGTGGGCAGCCCAGCCAGGCACCCGGTGGCCTTCGCGTACCATTCCTTGGGCTCTTCAGTCACAGAGCTCTTTGTGCGGCCTCTTCCTGCAGGGGCCGAATTTGAAGGTATCAAAATATTCCCCAGCTGACATTGTTAGTCAGCTGTTTCACTTGGACAATTCAGGCCTGGATTCCAACCCCGAGCCCTTAAGGTTGTGAGGCATTCAGCGCATTCCTGATGACAATCCCTGGGATTCCAAACCTTGTCTTTGTGCAGCCTCACTAAGAGCACTGTGGAAGGACGGGTGTGAGCTGGGTTTGGGCTCCGGCTTCGCCACCTCATAATAACAGGCCTCGTCCATTTTGGCAGAGACTGCTCCGGGATTTTGAGGTTTTCTTCCACCTCAGAAATTCCTTGATTGAGATTATGCCCCTTCGCCTGAATTGTACAGAATAAGTAGTTGGGTTATGCTCAAAGTGCAGGATGGGGGTGGGGAGGCAACCACTTCCTGTTTCCTGCGAAAGGCTTCTGGTTAGGGTTCCCTCCCCGCCCCCCCCTTTCCTTAGGTTCAACCAAATGTTGTATAGCCACTTTTGCTTCAAGGTACACATTGTGCTCCTAAATTAGAAACTTTAAAAAACAAAGAGGAAAAATAGAGCTTGTGGTTTTCACACCGCTTAGGAGGATACTGGGCCTTTCTAGCACATGTGTCATCATGATAAATACAAGAGTGGGAAAATGCGTAGCCCAGAGGTAGGTGCTCAGTAGTTGGCTTCCTGTGGTGCCCAGGAAAAGTTATGAGACAGATTTCATCAGAATCAGGTCTCGGGCATAAGTTTAATAGAGACATCAGTACAAAGTGGGTAAAGGAGAGGGCAGTAGTTCTGTGATAAGGAAATGTCCAGAAAGGTTTCTCAGAGGAAGAATCGTCAGAGTTGGCACATGAAGGCAGGTCTGCCGAGCACCGAAGCCAGGACTGGCGTTTAGTCACAGGAAGTGGGATCAGCTGAAAGGCAGACATTGGAACAGAATGACTGTGGCTTCCTTTACCCCAAAGCAGCCAGCTCTTTCTGTATCTTTGAAATGCAAGATGCCTACTGTGTGCGAGGCATTCTATCCTGTTGTCTCCTCTTATAGCTGCTGCGAAAGCTAAGAGAAGTTCCTTGACTTGCATGAGCTCCCACGGCCGTGTAAGGCGGAGTGGATGGGGAGGACATAGACGGTCGAAGTCACAGGCTTGCCCTGCTGCCTAAAGTGTGAATTCCCTTAGAGTTTCTAGGATAATTTGAAGTTTTATGGGGATGATGAGATAAAATATGTGAAGATTGGGACCTTTCTGGAAAAGCTAAAGGGTACAAGGCCACCCTCATGCTCCCTTGCTGCTGCTCTGTTTCTTTACTGTTAAGGGCTGCCAGACGCGAGTAGATGCCCGGGAGTGGTTACTTTCCATCACGGCTCTTTAAAAATTAAACACAACACAGGATTTGTTCGTGACATGCTAAGAAATACAGATTTAATTATACCTCTGTTTCTGAAATAGTAAGGGACTAATTTGGGCACCGTTAATACTCCTGTCATGAGTCAGTTGTGAAATTCCACGGTTGAGGAGTGATTCATTATTTTGATCCCCGTTTCGGAGCAGTTTGTGGACGACTCATCTCTCACCCCCGTGCTGAAGGGAACGTTCCATGGACTGACCACTCTCATTCTTCACCTTGGTTCGTGATGCTGAGGGAACCTGTCGGTGTTTCCCTGTCAGAGTCTAGGGTTAGGGTTAGGCATTTTGTTCACCGCTGTGCTCCTGGTGCAGTCCCCGGCACAGTCCCCGGGAGATGTCTGGTCACTGTGTTGTGGCTGCTCCTGCCACATCATAGGACAGCTTTGGAGATCACTGTCATTTTAAAAAAGAATTACTGAGTTGACTTTCTTTGTGATCAACCAAGTGGGTTAATTAACCGCCTGGCACATGAGTTGTGGTTTACGTTACCTGAGCTGGGCTGAGAGACAGAATTCTGAAGAGGACAAGGGACTTGGCCGGGAATATTAAGAAGTAGGTCATTGGGTTCCCTAGACCAGAACCTTTAGGCCAGAGGTGTTCGAAGACCTGCTGATTGTCAGAATCACTTGGTTTGGGTGGGGGACAGGAGAGTCGGGGTGCGTACTGCAGAGTTGGGTAGAGCGCCGGTGGCAGGTTTTCCAGGTAGGACAGGTGTGGGGAGGAGGCTGGTGGCGGTGGGGGTTTGGCATTTTAGGCTTGAGGCAAGAGGTCTCTCCCAGCATCAGGGCACAATCCGGTATATTTTTTATTGTGATATTTGATACCTTCAGATAATATGACATCAGTACAAATTTTTTTTTTTTTTTTTCATTTGAGAGAGAGAGAGGGAAAACATGAGAGGGGAGGTCAGAGGGAGAAGCAGACTCCCCATGGAGCTGGGAGCCCGATGCGGGACTCGATTCCGGAACTCCGGGATCATGACCTGAGCTGAAGGCAGTCTCTTAACCAACAGAGCCACCCAGGTGTCCCATCACATCAGTACAAATGAGAAGACATAAGAAACACTATCCAACTTAAAAACCCAAATATTTCCAGTCCTTTTGGACCTATCTGTACGTTCCTTCTCTGTCTTCTTCCCAAGGCAGGTACATTTGTGGGAATTTTTTAAAGTACGGAGGTGGGGGCGGTGATGCCTGGGTGGCTTAGTTGGTTGAGCCTCTGACTCTTGATTTCAGTTCTGGTAATGATCTCAGGGTCGAGGGCCGTGGGATTCCATGCTCAGTGCAGAGTCTGCTTCTCTCCCTCTCCCTCTGTTCCTGAATGTGCTAGTGTGCTTTCTCTCAAAATAAATAGCACGTATCTGGAAGGTGC